TCACGCCCACTTGTTTCCACAGTGGGTTTAACGCTGGTCCTGCGAGCCCTGATCAAAGCTTCAATTGAGCCTCTGGATCAGGTTTCATTTAAATTCTTGTCTCTTTTAACAGCCCTGTTGCTGGTTTTAACACCCGCTAAGAGGATAAGTAATTATCTGCCCTCTCTGTTGCTTCGTCATGCCTTAGAATTAGGCTAACGGGCAGCTCAGCTGATTTAAGACCAACCCAGCTTTTATGCCTAAAACATCACGAGCTCTTTTAAATCAAGAGTGATATCGTTGGAGGGGTTTTTTCCCTCCCACAGATCAGAAGGGGAAGCATCTGTTCATCTTCTCTGCCCGGTGCAGGCGTTGACGTGTTACGTAACGCGCACAGCTGCAATGCGTTCAAATTCAACAATTGTTTGTGCATTATAGAGATGCTTCTGCAGGTCGCCGTTATCCATCCAGCGCTTGTCACACTGGCTGTGTGAGGCCTTTTCTGAAGCCTACAGAGCATCAGTTTTAGGGCCTCCTGTCAACCTCTAAGCACACTCCACCAGGGGTATTGCATCTTCGATTGTTCTGCATAATGGTATGTCAATGCAGGACATTTGCACTGCGGCGGCATGGTCAACACCCTGCTCATTTATTCGCTTTTACCTACGTGATGTAACGGTTCGTTCCATGACACATTCTGTCCTTAGTGCTCTAACAGAATGAATATTGTTGTTCTCATGGAACTCTGTTTAAGCTCACTTCTGTCTGCACGCATTACAGTGTGAGATGTTGTTATCAGTCACAGTCGTGTCTGTGTTCTGGTTCTATTATCACTAATCAGTTCATGATTATTGTTACCAATCAGTTCATTTGATTATTTATCAATTCATGGACATTAATCTGTTTATACTGTTCAGCCATGATCCAGTTGGTTCAGGCCCGCCCCCCCCCCCCTCTTTTCAACTTCTTCTTCCCGTTGAAAGTTTTCCGGGGTATTCATGCTTTGTCAGAACGCATAGCTACACAACATGCGTCTGTGCATGGCACATAATTACGCGATGCGTAGTTATGCACATGGGGAGCTGAGTGACAAGACGTTTTTTGGGCAAGCTTCCGCTTCTTACTGTGTTCGAATGGACCCAGTGAGGCGAGGACCACATCGGCTTCGCCCTTTACCCACTAAAGCGAAGGCCTTAAAGGGCGAAGCTTATATGACATAGAACGTTGGTTACGTACTGTAACCCCAGATTCTATGAATATAAGCGTAGCCCTTTAAGCGTCGGGCCTCACTGGCTCCTAAATGGCTGAAGAAAAAGCTATTTTGGGAGCCGATTTCCCGCTCTTAACGTAATTTATACGGACCGGGTGGGGCCCACACAGCAGGTGGGCGTGGACTAATTTTTTTCAGTGCTTATGCTCTGCATAACGGGATAAACCCACTAAAGCGAAGGCCTTAAAGGGCTACGCTTATATTCATAGAATCTGGGGTTACAGTACGTAACCAACGTTTAGTAAAGTGGTGAAAAGGAGAGTCCAGGCTGGATGGAGTGGGTGGAGAAAAGTCTCAGGAGTGACAAACTTATTGTTTACATGAAATCTAGTGGAAAATGTCCCAGCAATCTGCAAAAATGTTGTGTGTGTATATATCAATTATCAGTTAATCTAACTGGCTTTTATTAATCATCAGCAGTGGACAAAACTGACTTCACTTCATTCCATTCAGATCTTCTGGTGTTTTGTGGGGCATCAGAATGACCTATAGACACATCCATTGTATGCTTTTCTTCTAATACCGTATTTTCCGCCGTACGCGTCGCACCACCTATAAGTTGCATCAGTCAATAAAGTGGAAAAATCCATAAATATGTCGCTTCGCCGTATACGTTGCATCTATTATGCATCACCGCTGACGCGTCGCAATTGTTACGCATCAGCAGTGACAACCCGGAAATGTGGGCCGGTGTGCCAAAAACACATGGGCTGCCAAATGGCGGACGCGGGAGCGTGCATGGGAGGACTAACAAGAATTTAACAAGATTAACACTTAAAAACATTTATTTCTTTGCTCAAAATTATAGTAAATATGTGTCTCAGTCTAACGTTTGCTTAATAAATGCACTTTGACGGTCAAATCGGCTGCATTTCAAAAATAGTTTTGCTGCTGAGGTGCTGCGAAAGGGGCACGCGCAGCTTGACCAGCCGCAGCATTTCTTTAAAATTTAACAAGAAAAGCACCTAAACAATTATTTGTTTGCTCGAGATTATAGCAAAGGTGTTTCTCAGTCTAACATTTGTCTAATAAATGCACTTTAATAGTCAAATTAGCTGCATTTTGCCAGGGTGGTGCAGCTGTTTTGACAGTTCCAAGCAGCGAGCAGAATGAAAGTGGGGATGTTATGGCAGGCCGATTGAGTCATTAATAGCTGGTGAAGATTCTCAGTCATCCAGGACATGGTAAATTCAAAACAGTAAAAAAAAAAAAAAAAAAAAACCCAGTAAAGTATAAAAAATAAAGACCAGTTGTTTTTGTCTTGAACTGTTTTGAATTTGTCTTTATAGCCACGTTTACCTATTACATTATACAACAGCATGCCATACAGCTATTACTACTCTGCTGCCATCAAGTGGCTGAAAGTGGTACTGCTCACTTTTTTTTTCTTTTTTTTTCAGTCAGAATGAATGGTAACGTCATCTCAATCAAAAATTGGTTTATAAATATGGGAAAATTTTAATTAATTAATTAATTAAAGGATTACCTTAGTTTGATAATTTTCCTTTTTCTTTCCCTTGTTATTGGTGATACAGGCTGGTAAACATTAAAAGCTTATCTCATCACTTTGTTCTTAGTTTCTACTGCTCGAGTTGTAATGTTGTTGCTTTGCAGTTGATTGGCAGGAATGCCTTGGCACTCTGCACTCGATCTCTGGTCTCTACGTCGTGGAGACGAGAAGCTTACAGGTTACACAGGAGCCCAGCTGCAGCTGTGCAGGTACACTGGTTTCTTCTGTTTATCACTGAGTCACTCACTGTTGCTTACATAATTAAAAATAAGATCTGTATACGGTCCAGTTAAGATCTAGTTTGTTTTAGGTCCGGTATGCTTCAGGGCGTAAAGGTTTTCTTGGGGAGTTTGTTGACAGTCTCCGTCAGGAGTTCGGTAAGAATCAGGAGATGAAGGAAAACATCAAGAAGTTCAGAGAGGAGGCCAAGAGGCTCGAGGACTCCGATGCTCTTCAACAGGCTCGCAGGAAATATGTAAGAATGTTTTACGACTTGTCGTCTGAGTTAGTTTACATTCAAACTGATAACTTAAGTAATATTTTAGTTTATTTGCTTTGCATATATACATTTTAAATGATACAGAATCACTTTCTGTCCTTAGAAATCTATAGAGGCTGAGACAGCAAAGACATCGGAGGTGTTTAAGAAGACCTTGGGCTCTCTGTCAGATACTGTCAAAGAGGTAAGATCACAAAAATATTTCTGTAATTAGTCAGAAACTAAACCTGAGTAATTCTTCTCATGTGAGAAGTCATTATCATCATGTATTTAGTTTTCTTCAAGTTTCCCTTGTGCTGCATTTTGATTTTGTAGAAGTTATTTTATTATTATTATTATAAAGTTTATTCATTTTATTAAAACAAAACAATTCTATGGACAATAAAAAATACAATCACAAATAAAATGAAAGGCAGCAGAAAGAAGAAAAAATCTTATATCTGCACCTTTTTACCAGAAAATTAATTCAAATAATAATAATCTTCAAGTAACAAAAACAAAATAAATAACTCCTTCTCGAGCAACAATTCATACAAATACAAGTTAAGCTATTTCATATTTTTTAACAAACCAACTTTGATCATTCTTTAAACATACACATTGATCTGGCATTTTTAACCTCACTCTCCAGATTATTCCATAATCTAATTCCTTGGATTGAAGTAGACCGTCCTTTCAAACTAGTTCTAAATTTAGGTTTCACAAATATCTCTATCCCCTTAAGATTATTACAACTCTCTCTTTAAACAAAATTTAATTGGATATTTAAAGGTAACGCGTTATTATGAGCCCTAAACATAACTGTTAAAATACTATAATCTACCAAATCATGGAACTTCAATAACTTCAGTTCATAAAATAATGTGCTTGATGGGTGACTGAAATGCTTCCTGGTAATAATTCTTATAGCTCTTTTCTGTAAAACAAAAATAGGATTTGTAATTGTTTTGCACACTTGCCCCCAAACATCAATACAATAGATTAAGTGTGGAACAATTATTGCGTCATACAACATAAACAGAGCTTTATCATTTAATAACACCCTGACTTTGTATAGTACTGCAATAGATTTAGCTATTTTTGTTCTTGCATAATTTGTGATGTTTTCCATGTTAGCTGTTCATCAATGATAACACCCAAGAACTTCACCTCACTAACTCTACAAATCTCAACACCCTTGACTCTAAATGGAACATCAACAGTTCTCTTTCTATTACTGAATGTCATATAATTAGTTTTATCTAAGTTTAATGATAATTTATTAAGTTTAAACCAAGTTTGTATTTTTATAAATTCTGTCTGCATCAACTCCAACATCTGTTCTATATCGTTACCAAACGACAAAATGTGGTATCATCTGCAAATAGGACACATTTAGGGAGTCCTGACACATTTACCAAGTCATTCATGTATAAAATAAATAACTTTGGTCCAAGTATAGAACCTTGAGGAACTCCACTTTTTCATTCATTCAGCCTTTATTTGTGATATTACAGAGGTCAGATCGTACATCATTTATTTGTACAAACTGTTTCCTATCTTTCAAATAGCTAGATATCCACTGTAGTGCTAGTTCGCTTAATGCCATATTTGTTAAATTTTTCAAGGAGAATAATGTGGTCATTAGTATCGACTCCTTTCTTTAAATAAACAAAAATACTAACACAATATTGTTTTGGATCGACAGCTGTTATTTGTTCTATCAGTTCCATGAGAGCTGTTGATGTAGTTTTTTGCTCTAAGCCCATACTGACTGCTACTTAGAATATTTTGTTTAGCAATAAATTGATCCAATCTGGTCACAAATAATTGAAGAAGTTGAGTCAATGTCATGCACTACTGTATAAATCTTACAAGTTCTTTGTTTTGTTTTTGTGCTGAAGGGTCTCGAAGAGGCGAGTCGTTCCAACATCGGGAAGAAGATCATAGAAGGTGTGGAAGAGGCAGCCAGAACGGCCAAGCACTCCGCTGAGTCCATCTCAAAAGGTGGAGAGAAACTGGGCAGGACCAACGCGTTCAGGGCCATCTCACAGGTTAGAAAAGAAAACAACAGGAGGTTCAGAAAACTCATCCTGAAAAATTACAGCATCTCAAATGGCATCTGTTTGTGCACTTTCTGTATATTGCTCTTTAGCTCACAGCAGTACACTTTGTGTAGACAATCATTAGTATTTTTTGTTTGTTTGTTTTTGCAACCTTGCTTGCAAATCTAACTTTAAACTCATGTTGTGTTTGAACTCTGCAGGGGGTAGAATCCATGAAGAAGGAGATCGAATTCGGAGATGCTGGCGCTTACAGAGCTCCTGCTCAGCTGAGGATGAGGAGCGACTTCGCCTTTAAAACGGCAGACGGCGACACCAGAGCGTTTGAAGCCAACGAGTAAGAAACTTCTAACTCAGACATGTTTTTACTCGCTATATGTGAAATATAGTATTAAATACGTTTATTTAAGCAGTCATTTCCTCACATTTCAACAGCTTCTCTTGTTTTTCCTCACTTTGTGATGTAGAGAGGCCATGGGCGTCATTCTGCACAAAGACTCAAAGTGGTTCCAGCAGTGGAAGGACTTCAAGGACAGCAATGTAGTTTTTAACAGTAAGTCAGTTAATTAGTTAAAATACTTTGGAATTAGTCTTAAATTATGGACCTCCAACATTATATTTTTCATGGAAGTTTTTACTTAAAAGCAGCAGGTGGCAGCAGATTGTTTACAAGTAAATGTGCAGGAATTAGATGTTAAGCTATCAGTATTTGGTGTATCCGCTGCAAAACTACAGACTTTAGATGGATTCACAAGAAACCCACATTTTACATATTTTAAACAATAACCTTCATCTTAGTTTTACTGTTTTGTTGCCTTCAGGGTTTTTTGAGATGAAGATGAAGTACGATGAGAGTGACAACGCGCTCATCCGAGCATCCCGAGCCATAACTGACAAAGTTACTGACATTTTAGGTAATTCTCCCTCCTTTTTTATTATTATTGTTTTATCTTTTAATTCTGATTTTGTTTTTTTAACCAAGTTATTTAATTTTGAAAATTGCCTCTCTCTTTGTAAAAATTTGGTGGAAAATCATAAAATGTAAACTCAGTGTTTGTTGTTTTTTAGTTCATAATTCTAGATTTGTGGGGTTTATGCTCTTGTATGTTTCTAGGAGGACTTTTCTCAAAGACGGAAATGTCTGAAGTGTTGACAGAAATCCTGAAGATAGACCCTAACTTTGATAAGGACTCTTTTCTTAAACAGTGTGAGAAAGATATCATCCCTAACATCCTAGAGGTAAAAACAGAACCAGTCTTGTCTCGTCGTGCTGTGCTGTTTCAGTGAACATCCTCCCTCTGCTCAGTCACTGAATACCTTGATGCTCTGAAGTATTGATGGACTCTGTCCACTCTGCAGGCCATGATTCGTGGAGAGCTGGATGTGTTAAAAGACTGGTGCTATGAGGCGGTGAGTGATTCACTTTAACTTCAGTTTTATAAATATTTTTAAGCGATTCACAGCAGGATGGCCTGCACATGACTGTCGGATTACTTTCTATACATCCTAATTGTTCACTGAATTTGTGCTGAACAAGAGAATACAAAACTGTTACTGGCAGAAGAACCACAATGTAAACTAGTTTTGTTTGCTGTTTTTCACACTTTTTTTTATTTGCACGATCATCCTTTCAGACTCAGAGACCCCTCACTCTGAGCTGATTGTTGATCTTTCATGAATAATGTGCGAAGTTTTAATGTAACGTGTGTTCTTTTGCACATATTCTCAGACGTACAGTCAGCTGGCCCACCCGATCCAGCAGGCCAAGGCTCTGGGGCTTCTCTTCCAGTCTAAAGTCCTCGACGTTGATAACGTAGAAGTGAGTTCTGCAATTCTCACTCTCAGTTCTCTTTTTGTTTTCCTCTCTAAAACTATCTATTTTATCTTTATTATCCACAAAAGTTAAATAAATGTGTTCTTTTATTAGTTTTCTTACCTTCTATAGGTAGAATGCTGATCCTAGCATTTCCCCCTAAATAAGTCAGAGGAAAAGTTAACAAGATAAGCAGTGTAGGTGGTGCTGTATTTTTCTAACACCAGCCTCAAACACTTCACCGTTGGACTCTCTGTTATAATTTAATGCTAAATAAACGTCATACCACTCACATCTGCTTGTGAGGTCAGCTTTGTCTGGACACTAGACAAGAAATTAGGTTTATGCACATGTCAGCGATGCATATAATCTCACAGTCACAGTGAAGTTGTATCCAGATGTGCAGGAGACACAGAAGCTGGGATCGTTTTATTCTATTCACAGATCTGCACATATTAAATGAGACAAAGGTGTGGACTTGTGTCTAACTGTAAACGGGTGAATCTGGTGTGTAATTTTTAAAGAATGCACAATAATATTTGTATTTATTGAATAAATGCAGGTAGAGTCTTCCATCATTTCATCTTTTTTTTTTTTTTTTGGTGTCGTCTTTTTCCCGTGTGTTAGTTAGCAATGGGTAAGATGATGGACCAGGGCCCGGTGCTGATCATCACCTTTCAAGCTCAGGTCGTCATGGTGATCCGCAGCCCCAAAGGAGACGTTGTGGAGGGAGATCCGGTCAGTCAACTTCTAGTTAACTGCACTTCAGCACTGAAGCTCAGAGATGAGGCTGCACGCAAATTTGTATTAGAAGTTTTTAACAAAAGTTCGAAGCAATGTTGATGTTATGGAATTGGATTGACGTTTTCAACTTCTCCTCCCTTAACAGGAGAAAGTGATGAGGATGATGTACGTCTGGGCTTTGTGTCGAGACCAGGAGGAGCTGAATCCCAACGCAGCGTGGAGGCTGCTGGACATCTCCGCCTCCAGCACTGAGCAGGTCCTCTGAATGAAGAGGGGTGCACGGGTGAAGAGGCTCATCAGGAACTCAACGTTACGGAGGACAAACGATGTAGCTGCTCATCCTGTATGCAGTAAATTAACCCACGAGGGCAGAGTAAAAAAACCTGCTCCTCTGTGATTGCACTCATTCCCATCAGCAGAGTATTTATGTGCTCACGTACATATTCTGTTGCTCCCTGAAACGCTTAAACATACCACTGGAGATCAAATATGACAATTTTACAGATATCTGCATCCAGTATAAAGGATATTGAGTCATGCTCATCCACTTTGCGTTTGGATCGATTGAACTATGAGTACAGCGTTTGAAAAATAATTTTAAGCTGAATGGAACCAGACAAAGACAGAAGTTATACCCCTCTATGGAAGTATAGAAATGTGGTTTTGTTTAACACAAGTACTGTAGAAGAAGTTTTTCTGTTTAAGAAGGTGAAAATATTTGCTTGGTTCCTGCGTCAACATGTCACCAACGGTGTTGGTGTTAAAATCAACTCAAACCTGCTTCATGTTCAGGTTCATCTTCTCATTGAAACAAAGCATTTATGATAAAGACCAACATGAGAGACGGTGAAGTGAGCCCATGAGAGGTTAAAGTCTTGAATGCAGTCATGCACATGCATCTAAACTGAACTATTTATTTATTTATTTTTTACGCAAGACTGCTGGTCATCAGAAGCTTCACAAACGTCAAATGAAATGAATACTTAAGCATAAAACAAAGACTGTAAAATCTATTTATTTAACATTCCAGTCAATTCGTAGAGAAGAATGTTATGTGCGGGGTGAGAAACCTCAGATGCTGCTTTGTTTATTACATTTAGATATGAAGCATGTTTTCTGATGTCTCTTCATTCTGAGTCAGGTTTTCTTTTTCATTCAATCCTATAACAATCAAATGTTGAGTTGTTTTTTGGAAGCGCACGTGGCACCATCTGTTTTTCTCTTAGGCGGCTTCATTGTTGAAGCTTCATGTAGCAGATCTTTCACGTGCTTGTCGTATTGAACTGTTGGGTTTACGTTTATGAACGTAGCTTACAAGTGGGTAAATGGTGAAACCAAAAGTGGAGAAGAGTGAGTTTAGTAAATGGACTGCGCTGTTGTACTGATTGCTGTTGATATTTGTAATGTGCAAAATGTTTTATTGATGATTTAACTAAAATTCCTGAACCTGATGGTCAACTTGTGTTATTCTGTTGGTCTGCTGGAATGTGGTGCATGAAATATCTTTCAGTTCCATTTGTCCGTTTGAAGGGGACACGAGGTCGTGAGAAGTTGGGGTTGAAGGGTGCTGCAGCACCCCCTAATGGAAGCTAATGGACATGCATTTCCGAATGAATCGGAATCAACTTTGTCATTGCACCGAAGCACAACAAAATTACATTTCAGTACAGTCCGTCTGAGAAAACAACACATGGGGAGATGAAGGTGTCTGAGGCTGCGGCCTTCGGGAGACGCTGCTCTTTAATAAAAAGAAACACGAGGGATTAAAAAATTGTATCTTGCACTGTGTCCTAGACAAGACAGTGCAAAAAAGATCTCCGCACCGAAATGGCAACATACTGATGACCTGTCACAATAACAAAATTTTCTGGGCGATTTTCTCAGAAATTATTGCGATAAACGATAATATTGTTTTGAAATTTGACAATAATTAGTAATTATTGTCAAATTTAAGAAGAAATGTTGATTAATTTGTTTTGTGTGTAATACCTTTTTTGACCACTGTATGGCAGTATAAGACTGAACCGAAGGATGGATAGTGAGGGAGTGAGCAGCGTGTCTCTAAGAAAAATGGGAGGGAGGCCCCTTGATGTGACATGGGCTGTCTCTCTTTCCTGTTTTTCAGTTCTCAAAATGGCGGACGCTCGGTGTGGTTTGAGCTCTTTAGAATAGCATTTGTCACACCAAGCTTTTAATAAAAAATAAATAAAAAAAATTAGTAAACAAGTTCTCACCTTCTTTTTGCAAAGAAAATCAACTTTTTACACAAAGGCACGGGTTTCAACTGAATTTTGGAGCATCGACGAGATGTTTTTTTTTTTTCCTCGAGGTTGGCCTGTTGGCTTAGCTTCTCAGCTTAACTGCTTTTAATGATCCAAAAACACAATTTTGGACAGTTACAACAGATTTTAAAGAAAAACGAGAAAGGGAGGGGTCAGTGAAGAGCACCGGAGTTGAGCCTTTTGTCATCCAGTGTCCAGTAGAAAGAGAGACAGAGAAACGATAAAGCCAATAAATGAAAATGAGGTTGATAATTTTCATTAATCATACGATTAATTGATTTGTTTAGATTGACAGGCCTAATCATAATCCATTTATGCATGAGGAGGCCGATGAAGGCGGTGAGTTGTCCGTGGACACTGCCAGATAGTTCCAAAATCCTGGTAAGATGGTGCAGTGTCTATCAGCCAGCTCAGCTCTGACACAGGTCCACAGATGTCCTATGGAAGGGTGTGTGTGTGTTTGTGTGTGTGTGTGTGTGTGGGGGGGGGGGGGTTCATAGGACAAAGAGCAAAACAGGAGGGAAGCAGAGCGGGAAGGAACGCGTCAGCCTTCATCGAGAGCAAGTAGGAAAATTGTCTAGTTGAATCAATGAACTGACTAAAACAAATGTCAGTAGTGTTGCACATTCCAATAATATTCAGATATTTAGTTTTGTAAATCAGCTCTGTGCAAAGTTGTACAACTCCCACACAAAGTTGGCAAATAAGTACTGGTGCTCATATGTGCTCACAGCACCCCCAAACTGAAATATGTTCCCATGGTTAAGAAGATAAATAAGTCCACCACAGAATGTACACAGAAGAAATCTTAGGCATCAGGTGAGAGGTCTTTTATTTTATAATGCTTATTCCTATTGTCCACAGATGATGTTTGTGTTACCAGTTAAAGCTGTTTCAGTTTGTATAAGAAGCATTAACTTTTCTCTTTAATTAGGAAGAATAATTCCAGTAATTTCTTGAGTTTGAGATGATTGCTTCACAAGTGACAACAGGTGAAAAATATTCATGACTTTTCCTCTTCTGTTGCATCGGGATGCTGGTCAGCAGAAAAGAGCTCTCCGTGTTATGATTAGTTTTGTGTAAGCTTTCTGAACAGTCAGCAGCTCTGAATGTAGCGCTGGTGTTTGCTCACAACAAGAAATCGAAGTGTGGACGTTGTGTGTGTGTGTGTGTGTGTGTCAGGGTTTTATTTTTTGGCACATCTTGAAAGATGCTCATGGAAGCAGATGATGATGGTTGATGATACAATATATTGGTGTGTATATAGATGATATATTAAAAAAAAACATGACTGTAGAGTTACACAGCGAATCAGTAATGGAGGACTTCATCCTGCAGCTTTGACAAATGAAAAGGGCAGGTCTTGTACTAACATGCACGTCCACACATGTAACAGTTTTGCTGTAACACTGACCCATCTTTCTAAACCACAGTTTGACCTTTTCCCTGTGAAATCCTTGTTTAACAAAAAGGAGAGTGATGGAAACACCCATGAGGGTTAGAGGCTCTTAATAATTATGACCACAGTGGTGATTTGATCGTGAACTTTATTATTAACCTTTATTTATCAGGCAAATCTCACTGAGATCACAGATCTTTTTTGCAAGGGAGGTCTGGGCCTGAAGGCAGACTAACATGCATGTTTGTGGTCTGTGGGAGGAAACCGGAGTACCCAGAGAACACCCACGCATGCACAAGAAGAACATGCAAACTCCACCCAGAAAGATCCCCATTTGAGATTTGATCCGGCAACCTGCTTGCTGAGAGGCAACAGCTCTGCCAACTGCGCCACCGTGCCACCCCACAGATAGCTCACAACGTGTACACATTATTTAAATCTTTTTGTCCAAGAATGATGACCTTTGATTTTATTCATGGCATCCATTTAAGGGAAATTGAAAGTTTTAATGTTGACAAAGCTTCTCATGTGGTTAAATAACTAAACGTGTGAATTCATGAACAATATCCAGCATCGCTGCTGCACTCCCAACCATTCAGGAACGGTCAGGGAGGGAGGGGGAGGATCAAGCCCCCTGGTGAAAGCAGAGGATGTGCAGCAGGACGGTCAGACCTGTGCCTCGGAGCGAACCTGCAGCTGTCCTCCGTGCTGAAATGCTTTTCATCATCACTTCATGTTGGATTTTACCTGCTCGCCTGTGACATCAGCACTAAAGTAAGTTTTTAGATGTAATCTAATCATCCTCCTGTTGGACATGACAATGGACTCCCTGCGATTGTTCATCTGGAAGTCTGACTTTAGTGAATAAAATAAAAAAAAACAGTTTAATCCACTACTTATGAGTAAGATGCTCTGCTTTATTAAACACACAGAAAATCACTGAAAGAGTAACATCTGTCTAATTGCTAAAACACTTTCTCTCCAAGAGCAGCAGAATAACAACTGAAATAACATTTCTCTGTCCCTTCGGTTTTCAAAACGCAGCTCGGAAAAGGGTTCTGCACAGTATACAGAGAATTATTTTTTTTTTAATGTTTTTGAAGTCCTTGACATTCTCAGAGCGGTTTGTCGTATAATCCACAGGACTCAGTGGAACAGGTATTACGCCACGAGGAAGGCCATATGTCGCTGCGTGTGCTCTGATGTCAGAGTGGACAGCCTGGTGCTCTCATGCAAACCTTCCACCATACTTTCTGTTTTTCATATTACTATTTGAATGAACGATCGTGATGACTGGGATTTTCCTCCAATAGCCTAAAACCATAAATAAAATATTTGTTCTTTTCTTGTGTGTGAATCCATTAAGGCGCCACAGTGGGATTAATCTTTAAGGAATCAAAGCTGCTTCACCAATAGACCAATGATGCTGCTCTTTTTATTAGATTTCCACAACTGTTTTAGCATCAGTGTGTGATCTTTATTAACTTTTAACGATCGAAAAGTGAAATAAAAACACTTGATTTTTCTTTGAAATCTACAACAGTCTTGGAAATGATGTTTGCTGCGATTGAAGAGTGGAATGTTAGAAAAAACACGATAAAATCATGGATTTTTCAAAATATATTTTGCCTATGTGCTGTGAAAGAATCTCAGAAAGTGATTGATAAAATGTTTGTGTGGTATAATTGTTTTGTTTTTTTTTGATTAATGCAAATACACCAAAGGATTTTAGCGTAACCAGATCCAGCCATTGTCCATGTTTTCTGACAGCTGATATATATAAAAAAAAACCAGTTTAATCCTTAAAGCATGAATAAAGTAGGTTCATGCAGTTATTCAGGACCTGCTATCTGAACACTCTGGTCCTGATGGGACCACGGGCCATTTTCTAATTGATCCCAAGGCTGGCTCTTTTTTTCCTCAGACCCTTCAAGACCTCTATTAAACCTTCACTTAGCCCCACCATCCAGAGGGAAAGAGAGGTATAACATGTTTGCGAGGATCAGCGGGGGTGGTCAGGAGGGAGACAAAGCCTCCTGGAATAGAAAATGCTGAGTCGGGAAAGTGCCTGCTTCAGGAAATGTATTTTCACCCCGTGGCTCATTAAAGAGGCCCCAGAGAGGATTTCTGAGTAAGAGTGAAGCTCCTCCATCGG